TGATTTTAATTGCATATTAAAATTGAATACTAAACTGCTACAGGAATATATTTCGAATGAGTTTAATTGGATGTTGAACTGCTACTAGAATATATATTGTTGTTGCTATTGAATATTGAATGAGTTTAATTGGTACTACATTAACTGCTCTTATGCACTGCCTTGCTATTGCTATTGAATGTGTACTGCTATTAAATATTGAATGATATTGCTACTGGAATATATAATGCTAAATGAGTTTAATTGCTAGCAATAATATGCTTTAATTCTTAGCAATAATATGTGAAAATGTGTCAGGAATGTATACCCACACGTATTGTCTCGTGGAGGGTATCGCTTACTTGAGGAGAAAATTATAAAAGAAAAGTCATCATTGAGAGATAATTCCACATTAGATGATAATGATAGTCCATTTCCACCACCACGCCATGAGTTATGGAAGAGAGCACGACAAAAGAAAGGAGGAGAATACACATCAAAATCTACACAAGAGGTTGCTGAAAAAATTGTAAGTAAACAACGAAAAAATATTCAAGTATCATTATATTTGTGATTGATTAATTGATGTTTTTGCATTTTATAGGATTCTCTAGTTCAAGAAGCTGAAAAAGGTGCAATTGTTCCGGATGGACGTAACGATATCTTATCATTAGCCATTGGAACATCTGAGCATGGAGGTCGTGTTCGTGGTGTTGGAAAACACCATAAACAAAGCACTTACTTTGGAAGATCACGTCAACATATCGACGTAAATGAACAACTTGTAATATTGGAAACAAAACTTAGAGCTGAACTTGAAGAAAAGTTGGTTGAAGAGCGTAAGATGTTTCAACGATCATTAATGGAGACACTTAAGTCCATGGGTTTATCACAAAGCACAGGTGATAATAAATGCATTGAAAAATTGGAAATTATCGATGGAAGCGGAAAAGGAAGTTGTTCAGCTGCAAAGGGAAGCACAAAAGAGAGCACAAAAGACATGGAAGTTGATGATGTTCAGAGATTGTTACTCATGGTTTTGAAAATGGATGATAACCATTTGGCAATACAATTAAGTCATTGTGCGAGTGTCTCTAATTTCTATGTTTCAGCTAAATGTATCAGAGAGTTATTGGTGGGTTTAGGTCATTGGCTTGACGTGTCTATTCTGCAAATTTGGTGCACGTAAGTATATTTTATTGTTTTATTAAAGTCATTTTATATTGGTAATTTAAGTTTGGAAACTTATAAATAGTTGAATATTTTTGTATATTTTGTGAATAATATGTAATTGTAAGTTTTGAAAAAAGACTTATAAATAGTTGAATATTGTTGTATATTTTGTGAAAAATTTGTAATTGTAAGTTTGTTTGTTGTAATACAATACAATTTTGCAATACAATTGTTCAATTTGTAAGTTTGTTGTAAAAAATAATGAAACATCGACCTAGATGTGATATATGTGATGTTGGAAAGCTATGAAATCTATATAGCGACATAAATATAGTCTGTGTGATATTGGAAAAATATGAAAAAATGGGTACAAATTATATTTGTACAGGGAAAACATCCAGAAAATAAATAATCTATTCCAAAAAAATTTCATACATTTTACATCGGTTATTAGTAAAAACTGATGTAAAAACTTTCAAAAAGGGACTTTTTACATCGGTTGGGGATAATAACCGATGTAAAAAGTCGCGTCACTGGGGACTTTTTACATCGGGTATTACTTCCAACCGATGTAAAAAACTGGATCAATTTTTTTAAAAAATGTGCATAATAACTGTTTCTTACATCGGTTCATATATTATAACCGATGTAAAAAAGGGACTTTTTACATCGGGTATTACTTTCAACCGATGTAAAAAACTGGATCAATTTTTAAAAAAATGTGCATAATAACAGGTTATTACATCGGTTCTGATATTATAACCGATGTAAAAAAGGGACTTTTTACATCGGTCCCAGAACCGATGTAAAAAGTCCCTGATTTACTATATCGCCTGACTTTACATCGGACCCAGAACCGATGTAAAAAGTCAATTTCACCCGATGTAAAAAGTCATTTCTGCACTAGTGTTTTTGTGTATACTTTTTGTTGCACTTATCGACTTTTTGTGTGTTAATATCGCTGAAATAACCTGATTTTTGTGTAAATACATTTAGTTTGTATTTGTGTTTTTGTGTACATAGTGTACCGTTTGATGTTTTTCCATTTACTTTCTAGGTATTTATTTCATTTTGGAGCATTGAGGAATAAAGTGTCGAATGCACGGCTCTGAATGCGCGTTTTCAGAATAAAAGATTAGTTTTGGGACTTGCTATCCAGGAGAGCCCGCTTAACGCGCAGAGGACACTAAGCGCGAGTGGCGCTCAGTGCATTTTGTAGCACGCTGCTTGTGTTTATTGTTTTGTCAGAACAAAATTTAAGAAGCCCGCTTAGCACGGATAGCGCGCTTAACACGATTTAGTGTGTAAATAGCGCGCAACCTGCTTAGCGCGTTGAGGCCGCTTAGCACGATCTGCTGAGATTTGTTTTATATTTTCATTTTCAGCTCATTTTTAGGTTATGGTTTCGGAGAATTTTTTTCTCTCAACTCCATCAACCTCATTTTTGTAGTGGATTAACTTAGATAACAACTATGGAGCTTGTATACGGATGATCCGAGATGGATTGCTCTTAGATCGACGCTGACAAACCGGTAGATTTACAATTCATTTCTCTTTTTCTCTGTCTTTTCTCTATTAGTTGGGTTTGTACATGTATTTACTCTGAAATTATGTATATTTGTCCCCTTTAACGTTATATAAAACTTGCTTTATGAACCTCTGTGGATTATTGTCCTGGATTTTTGACTCTGTGCTTAGGAATTTGAGTTGTTATAGATATATACTGCTTAGATTCTTATCTAGGATGATCATCTGTTAGTTTCTAACCTCTAGAGATAGATTTAGAGTTGACATCTACTTGGGTATCAGAGCTTAATGTCTCTGTGTTGTTTGTGTTGCTCTAAGAGATCGTCGATGCATGCGAGCACAATTGACTTATGTGTTGTTGAGGAGGTAGAGAGATCATTTCCTTGGTGATACAATCAGCCTCTCAATTTGGGTTAGAAATGACTTAGATTGTGAGTGATACGTAGTGACATTGATAAATATCATAGGTTGAGTGTAACTGGTCGTAGATTTAAGTCTGTGAAGAGTAGATTATATGCATGCTTGATAAGTTCTTCCTTAGTTTTTTCTTTTGTTTACATTTATTTTCTGTTGATAACATTTTCTTTACAAACCCACTTATCCCAACTCAGAAACGCGAGAATTTGTCGAACGACATTTCAATACACCAATCTATGTGGACACGATACTGTATAACTTATATCACCCGGTAAAAATAATACTTTACTTTTAGCTTGCTACTATGCCGCCACAACACACATACACACACATAATTCATTCATTTTTTGAAATTCACCCTATTTTAAAACAAAATTTATTTCAGAAATAATACACTTTTATAAATTCCCGAAAATATATTTCTGATTTCTAATAAACAATAACATAACCTCTAAAAGCTGCACTTACTATAGCTAAGGTTGCTTCAAGGTGTCTTGCACCTGAGCCCAAAATGGGCCCATCCATGAAGGAAGTTTTGGAGATCTTGAAAGGAACTCAAGCTTCCACCAACAAAACCGCTGAGGTTAGGAGTCAAGATTAATGAGTTAATCCTATTTATATGTGAATTAGTGGGAACGATTGAGATTTGTGAGGCTATTGGTTGTTCATTTTGTATTTTCTTTTGACTTAAGTAGATTGCAATGAAATTTGTGCATTTCAGTGATGGCTTGCTTCAGTGAGTTGTGGATTTGATTTGCACGTCTCTAGTTAGTTGATCAACATGTTGTGTTTGTATCCCTATATATTAGTTGATCAATATGTTATTGTTTATTAGAAATCAAAAATATATTGTCGGGAATTTCCGAAAATGCATTTGTAGTTTCTACATAAGTTCAACTTTAAAAAAGTGCGCACTGGAAATATATTTTTGGTTTTCAGATAAATTTTAGGAAATACATAGGGTATTTCTTTACACTATAGAGTGAAAAAAAAAATCTTCTGAAGTAAAAAAAAAAATCTTTTATCCTTTATTTTCTTAGATGGTTTTTATTGTCTCTTATTTCTTAGCCTTTCATTAGTCTTATTAGGATTTTAGATTTAGCATCCTAACAATTGGTGCTTACATTCTTGAACATCAATACCTCGTATGATACACTCATTTCCATTATCTTTCACTACTCCATTTTATCCTTATCATCCTAAAACCACTGTTGTCACTTCCTCAGTTCTATCTTTTTCATGGAAAATTTTATCACCTTATTCCACAAATCCATATGTTAGAATTATTTCATCATGTTGTATTTTAATCATAGATATACACCACTTCCACATAACTCATATTCATCATATTCTACGTCTCATTATTTATAATACTACAATAATCATCACATACAACTACAACCAACAAAAATCTCTTCTACAATTAGTCATAAATATCAAAACCTTTTTAGTATTAGAAGAGAATTTAAAAAGCATTTGCAAGCATCTCATCTCACTTTTAAGAAAAACTCAAAAAAATTCAAAAAAACCTTGTGATTCACAAAAAAAAAAAAAAAAAAAAAAAACACCCATTTCCACCTCAACATCATCAACAACATCCATTCTAAATACAAATCTTCTCCAAGCAGTTCCGATTATCGTCGAATATGACGGACCTCCACTAGGTTACTATCTTCCCGTCGACAACATTCCGGTGACAGCAGTTATTTCTCAGATTGCACAGTCGGAGTTCACAGAAATGGCTTGAGAGGGTATTATTGGCGCAGTTGATGCGGCACGAGTCAATAAATAACAAATTGTGGAGTCTGAGCATTTAATGAAAGCACTGTTGGAGCTCGAAAGAGATTGCTGTCAACCATCTGTTGAAGATACAATATCCATTCTCCGAAGGTTGCGCGAGCGCTATGAATTGCAGCATGAAGTCAAAATATGGAACTTTGATGCCCCTTCAGCGCCAATTAGACGAAGCTGAAAAGAATCTAGTTGATTTCCAAAACTCTGGAGAAAAGTTAGTTTTGCTGGAACATGTTCTTCATAAGAGGCTGATTGGTCAGGATATTTTGTTGCAATTGTTGGATGATGGACGGATTACTGATTCTCAAGGAAGGACTATTAGCTTCACAAATTGTGTTGTGATTATGACTTCAAACATACCGGTTAAGTTTAAAAGGCTTAGTTGTGTATCTAAAGAACAAACATCTTGGAGTTGTCTCAGGGCTTTTCTGCTATGTTATAGCAACCTGGCTGCCACACACATGTCTCTTGGTAGGATGAGAGATGAAATAAAACATTGTAGGCTGGCTGCTGAAATAGATCAAAACTTCCTCAAGCTGCAACTTAGAGCTGCAAATTGTTATCTTACTTTGGGAGAAGTTGAAGGTGCATCACTATATTTCAAACGCTGCTTGCAAGCCAAGAACTGATGTTTCTGTAGGTCGAAAACTTCTTATTGAAGTCTCAGAGGGCTTACAAAAAGCACAGAAAGCATCAGACTTCATTTTCTTTTCTTTGGAGCTGTTTTTGAGAATGAAGGAAAATGGATCATTGAGCTTCTCTGTAGACTATGAGTTTGCAGCAAGATTAAGATCAACAGTGGAGTTCCTAAGCAAATACAAAGGCAATTACACTTTCACGTGTATTAGTGGAGTTTTTCTCTTCATAGTGTGGAATCCGGGAAAGATTAATGTTGCAATAACAATTTAGCATCTTAAGTTTTATTTTAGAACCTTGAGGACAAGGTTCATGTGAACCCGGCAACAATGATAGAGATATAATTATGAGTTAAATTAAGTTACTAAATCTTTTATTTTAAGTGTTATTGGTCTTCTTTTGTACTTGAGGTTTTAGATTTATTATCTAATATGACTATTATATATGTAGTCTCAATGAGACATTGAAGGGACATGAATAAAATAAAAAAGTTATCTTTTATCATTTATTTTCTTAGATAATTTTTATTGTCTCTTATTTCTAGTCTTGTAAAGATTATATATTTAGCATCCTAACATATCTATTGACATTCCTTTTTTTTTTATCATGTCCAACAGTAAACTCAAAATTTAACAAGTTAATTAGCACTATGACCCAATTAACATATTGTCTCACAAAAGCTCCCTCAAAAGCTCATATTTGTGAAACATGATTGAAATTTTTAATGGCATTATGTTGCGTTTGGAATTTTCATCGAAGCGCGAACGGGGAAAAAGATAGAAGAGTCGCCATTAATATTATTTATTCCAAGAGAGGAAAAGAAAACACTGAGTAAACCTGAGGGAAGGGAAGGAGCATGGCCATCGCGACCAAGAGAAAAGGGTAAGGAAATCAAGTACGCGAGATGAAGGTATTAGCACCCCTCTCGTCTGTCGTACTCCACAGGATCCACTTAGGTTTGTTCTAATCTAAGGGTGCATCTAATCTATGTCTAAAGCTTACTGATAAAAGGGAATGCGTGGATGCAAAGTATTATGTACAAAAAGAAAGTTTTTTATTAGTTGTGCTTGCCTCGGTGGCGAACCTTCGTGCCTACGTACCACCGATCGTGTAATAGGGATTAAGGCACTCGTATTTCACCTTAAAAGTTTTGGTGAGTTGCATGTTTTTTATGAATAATGCTAGTGAAGCATGTTCTTTTTGAAAAAGATTTTAAAAGAAAAAGTCCGAAGACAAAAAGGTTTGCATTGGTTGATGTTTTTTACCTTGAAAAGGGGTTTTTGTAAAGTTAGAGGTGTTTTATGAATTTGCCAAAGAAAAAGAGTTTTTGTTTTAGTCATGCAAAAAGGGAAGTAAAAAGTCCAAGGGAGACTAACCTAGTGTTATCTCTATTATTATCATGCAATGATGGTCCTAGAGTTCAGATTAACAAAGGGATAATCTACCTAGTGTTGGCATGCATAGATTCAAGTCTAATGTCTAATTAGTTCAAACTTGAAAGAGAGTGAACTAACAATCCTAGGGGGAGCATGTGATCACACAATAGAAAGCAAACACACAAAGATTGAGGGGTATCCACTCGTTCAAGTTACACGCACCTAACTGAGGTCTTATGTCACCAAGGTAGGAAAGGAGAGGGATAACACCTAACTACGATATTGTGTCATCGAGGTAGGATAAGGGAATTAAGACACATAACCATGATATTGCATCATCAATGTAGGATAAAGGGAGGCTTAATCAAGATATCGAGTCATTGAGGCAAGCAAAATGGGGGGAATGAATAGCTCTTAACCATGATATCATGTCATCAAGATAAGAAGAATAGGGGGTGTCGAACCTTAATCAAGATATCTTGTTATCTAGGAAAGAGAAGAACAAAAGTGAATCGTCATAGGTGACTAAAGACCTAAACAAGATATTGTGTCATCGAGGTAGGTGATAGAAGACGATAATGAGATCACATAGAAGCATCAACATTTACAAATGCGAGCTAAAGATAAATTGTGGGGGTTTATTGTAAACTCTCTGCTCCACTTGACCGACTCGATAACAAGAGTAGCATTGTTCATAGCATCAACGTACGAAGTGAGCTACGAACGACTTGGGGACTAGAAATGGCGGGGTCCATTACGGATCCTTACTTTGCCTTATGCCTTCTTTGGGACTTATCAATGGGGAGTGTGAATGAGAATGCCTTCTTTGAGGTCTTTGACACAAATGTAAACACATAAAATTGCTTTCGTTGAGGACTTTAAACAAGCAAGCGCAAGTATAAATTGTCTTCTAAAGGTCTTTTAAACAGTATTGCCCACCTAAAATAGGGATTCTCAGTCATGAATCTCTATTCCTAACTCTCATGGCAACGGAAGCGGTAAACGATCATGCATTTCTATTCCTACTTCTCATGGTAAGGAAAACGGAAAACAATGCAAGGTGATATAGACAAGAGCAAATATCGAACATATATCAATCATTAATTGCTAAGTAAGCAACAAGAAACCCGGAAAACTTCGTGCAAGCTAGCATCAACAACAAAAGAAGTCAGAAATTGGGCACTCTGAATATGCGTCAGAGCATCATGTGAAAATAAATCACAAATGGAATGTGTAACGGACACATCCGGATTTCAATCAATAGACCTGCACAAACAAAGGTGTAGACAAACAAACAATAGTATATGCATCTCATAGAACGAGAATCATAAACAATCGCATCGGAAGCGAAATTGAACCACAAGGAAGTGGAATAATATGCTTCAATCGGATAATCAAGAATCAATTAATCGATTGAAAACTCTCTTGAAAAGCCCTGAACAAGTACACAAGAGGAGTTAATGATAACAAGAAAGCGTAATTGAATGCAAGCAATCATATCACAACTCAAAATAAGATCACAATGCAAAGAAATAACATCCGAACAAGTATCGGAACATGGAAATAAGAAACTGGGCAGCACCGCACTAGCATATGGAAGTGCACAAAAAGTCGTTGTAAAAGTGCAAAAACTCAACTCCGATATCAAGTACTTGAAGAATTAAGCTCAAATATGTATTAAGAATGAATTAAAACACACGGTAGATGCAAAATGGATTTTTCGGACAACATTGTATTTACACATGAAATGCATAAAAATTTGAGTCAAAATCAACGGTACTTGATATCGGTGTCAAGCAAACATGCTAGGAATCTCAAGTATGCACTTAGTTGAAATTAAATTGTGCTACATATCATACTTAGTACTCTGGGAAGCGGTATTATAACACATGAAATCGATTGGAAATTGGCACCGGAAGCAACCAAACTCAACATCAATGTTCATTAAATGCTCAATTATGTACAAGCAAACATCAAATGGGAATTAAAACAATATGTACACGTGGAATTAAATTCCGGACAACATTGTCGTAGTTTTTGAATTGCACGAAAAGTCGGAATAAAATCCACCGAAATTGGTACCGGTATCCATCGAATGTACCAACAAACTCAAGTAAGCATCAAGTTAGAATTAAATCATGGTATATACGTGAAAATCATTTTCCAGACAGCAACTTTTTACACATGAAGCGCTCAAAAAATTGGCTTTAAAACAAAAGAATTTGGTACCGGTATCAATTAATTGTACAAACGAGTTCGAAAATGCAACAAGCCGAAATTAATTCACATGTTACGGTGTATTTGCAAATTCCAGACAGTACTACGCACATGTTGATATTCACCAAGAACTGATTAGAAAATCAAGGTTTTAATGCACTTAATCCGAATATCAACATATGGAAATTCAATCAAAATTTACAAACCAAAAGCATCCGCAAAACCGGTACTGGAATCATAATCACCAAGCATTGGAATGGAACCAATTTACGCATCGAAGGTGATCAAACAACTTTTAAACTAATTCCGACTCATGAGTTTAAGAAATTGTCAAGAAAATAATGAATCGGAATCCATTTACGACACGAAAAATCAACACATGAACAAATATCAATTTTCGAAATCAAGAGATTTAATTAATTATCATCACATAATCAACCAATTCCACATTTGTTCATGACTCAAAGTTCAATTTAATCCACAATTCACAAATCAAATAAGTGCTTAATCCTTAATCACTTATTTCCACAATTCAAGATTCAATCCAATGCAAGATCAATTTATCTCAAGAATTCAACACTCAAATTGAACACGACAATTGAATCAAGTGAGAAGGATCAAAGAATTATCGTAATCGACAAAGAGAACATTGATCAGAGAAGAAAATTCTTATCGGAGAAGCTTAGAAGCCGACCGAAATAAAGTGATCCGGCGGAGCGAGCTAGCACAGACGTCGCACGATCAGGGAGGGACGGCGGTTTTGGCCGGAATCAGAGGCTAGCGACGCGGTGGCGGAGGGACCAGTGGTTGCCAGTGGTTATGCGCGAGAGAGAGAGAGAGAGAGAGAGAGAGAGAGAGAGAGAGAGAGAGAGAGAGAGAGAGAGAGAGAGAGAGAGAGATCGTGGAAATGAGAGGAAGAAGATGAAGCTTCTTTAGTTTTTTCTTCAATTTTGTGGTTAATGTTCTTGAGTTTGTGTGAGAAAAGTTGAGAGAATTTGATTCGATTTTAGAGAAAATTGGGAGGAGTTTGTAAGAATGAGTGTTGTTATGTTTGATTTTGAAATTTGAAAATATATAGTTTGGCTCCAAAACTTGATTTTTTTGCTTATTTCTTACACAGTCGGTATTGAACCCCGAGCTCATGACAAATGGTGCAAAATCCTGACGCGCGGTCTGAAACAAAATCGTTGATGACGGAATTTTTAACACGGAGCCAAAATAATCACCCCGATATGATAAAAATTGAGCGAGTTATGAACTTTAGAACGACGAGAAAATTTGGCTCTGACGCTGTCTTTTTCAGTTCAGCAACTTATTTTACTGTTCCATTTGTGAAATGGACCATAAACGGAAGCCTTCAGAGCACCTTTCCGACTCGAGGTCTGAAGCAAAGTTGTAGC